ACGAACCCTGTGACTTTCACAAATACTTTTTTCGCACTAGAAACAAGCGAGTCTACCTCAGGATAGAGACCTCTTACTTCCTCTGCTATCCTGTGCAATGCATGAGCAAGGCACGTTAGATGGATCATATTAGGAAATAAAACTTTTAAGGCATTTCCAGCTTTTTTCATGTAGGTGGCTGCATCTGTAAGAAATAATAGCACTCTTTCATGCTTAGTGCCATTTGGCTAAAGTAAAGCCAGCGCATTAGTGAACAACTGTGCAATTGTAGTACTGTTAGTATTCTGCAACTGTTCAGATGTCAAAAAAAGATTTTATGTTTTTCAAATGGGTCCATAACACCAACAATAACATTCGCAACATATCATCCAGTTACATCAGTCGTTTCATCTACAGATAGCCATATGGTTTTCGTTCCGATTTCATTTTGAATAGTTTTAAGAACTTCGGTGTAACAGTCATCTAAATAAGTTTTCCTTAAAGTTGATTCACAGGGCACACTTTAATTCGTATATTTTTGCAAAAAAGCTCGTATATGGAGTCGAGTCGGAGTGCCGGCATCTACAAATGATCTGCATAAATCCATTGCAAATTCCAATTTGCGAGAAGATAATTGAAAACAGGTGGGAATCAGAGTCGGTGTTTTCCCATTTTTTTTATCTTTTGCTGTTTTATGCTTAGCTGTCTCCAAGTGCTGAGATATAAAATACTTCTTCTCAAAATTTACTGACTTCTCGTAGGCCTTACAAAATAGAATGCTCCAATCAGCAGAAAACACATCAGACCCAAACTCTTTCACAAAACTGTCCAGTTTTTTGCTTGTGCAGGCTTTTACTTTAGGCATTTTTAAAATAACTAGTACTAGAAAACTATTTCGTGCTCCGTCTACAATGTGCTCAACCAGCTTGGTGAATTCGTTTGTAGATAAGAGAGCATGCGATTTATTCGATGGTGTAAGTTATATGGGGCTATATGGGCCGTAAGTAAGAATAAATTCTATTGGTTGTAAGTAAAAATAACTCCTATTGACTGTAAATAAAAATAACTCCAATCTTTTCACTCCTTTTCTCTCTCTCCTTGCAAAGCGCATCGGGTGAAGGTGAGGCCACGTTTTCTGACGCCACGACGAAGGTGACGCCACGAAGAGACGGAGAGGAAATATTCTTTTTCCTACATTCCCCACGCACTCCCAATAGTTGCCGAGCGAACGAGTTCTCATCAAGCTCTTTGTCTTCCAAACTATCCCTCTGGGATAAAAAAAAAATGAATTGCAAGGTGCCATGCAAGCGCGTGACAATCTCCTTTCTTGTGGCCATCTTTGAAAAAGGCAAAGCTTCATTTCTGTATTCTATTCTCTATTCAATCAACACTGTCAATCTCATGGACAGAAAAATGTCTTTCACCTGCCTTGCTCACTCAAGCACGAGTACCCTATCAGCTCAGATGAATAGCCATTGTACTGTACGAGGGGTGATCACTGCCTCAACGGCAGGGAGTTGTCCCAAAAGGAATAAAGTCCTAATCTCTATAAATGCATTACAATACGTCGGATGACAGTCACCATTTCTGTATTTCAAAATTTCTTCATTTTGCGTTTATGCTCGGTCAAAAGCACGAAAAGCTTTGCAGAAAAATTTTAAATTAGATAGAAATAGGCATTTATGAACAAAAGGAAAGAAAAAGGTATTTTCAGAAGAAAACATTTAAAAAAAGGGAGAAAAGGGCATTTATGGCATTTTGCCTGAACTTCCGGGCTCTAGTTATCAGTTTTGAGAAGAGTGAATCAATCTGCAACATTTATTTATCCCAAAAAAGAAGCCAAATCATACATAGATTCAAATGACATTTCGTTATAACTTAAGCAGAGCAAAGCTTTGAACGTTCTTTAGGTTTGGTATTTGATTCTTAACAATTGGATTTGCATACTAGAAGTTAACACTAACAAAATAAAACTTTATTAACAAAATTAAAAAAAAAGTAAATTTATTTAGTTATACTATTTTTAGAAAATTTCTACTTAACTTTTCACATCTTTTTAACTGTCCCAAGGTGCCCCACTAGGAGGTACACCTTGGAACAAATAAAAAGGTAACTAAACATTTTTAAAAATTTTTTCTTTGACAGATACAAAATCAAAACCTAGTTAAAAATGTTTTCAAATGTTACAAGAATACCAGGTAAAATTTTGAAAATAATTGATCAGAATAAAAGAAAAAAATTAAAGAAAAAAAAAAAGAGTCCCAAGGTGAGCCACTCTCCCCTATCTAATACTAGGGTCACAAAAAAATTAACCAAAGATTTTAAACACTAAACTTACTATTTCTTTATTTAGTTTGACTATTTTTTCATTCAAATTGTTCACCCTCATTTCATAGTCATGAGCTTTTCTTTTTAGACAATTAATTTCAATCACACGCTTTTCGAGCTTAGTTACTTTATCTGATAGATGTGTGCTTTCTTCTGAAATTATTTTTTCTTTTTCTTTACATAATTTCAATTCTTCTTTTAACTTTGTGATGGCATCATTTTTTTTCACCAATGATATTTCTTTTCCATTAACAGTAGTTATGAGGTTAGCAGTTGTCTGAGCGAATTCCCGAATACTTTTCATTAGTCTTGTGTTCAGATCTCTTAGATTCTTGTTGCTATCATTCAATGCCTCGTTTGTGCTTGAAAGTTCCTTCACTGTTTTTTCAAGAGAAACAATTTTATTGTTTAAAATATCTTTCTCTGCTTTCGAAAGAAACACCTGCTGACTTTCTGATGTCATCTTTTTTCTTATAGAGGCTCTATAAAAGTAATTAAGTTAAATTAATAATGAAACAAAAAAAGACAAAGTAGTAATGTAATACAAACTACCAAAAAGACAACAATATGATAATAATAAAGTCAACAATAAAAGACAACAAAGCTTAGCCAAAAAATATATAAGTGAAAAGAAGTCTAGTTTCTCCGATACGTAGCAGGGGCCGGTCCTTCTGTATGACAAGAAAAGTGCCAAAGGTTTTGAGCCGGCGCAAGAGCACATCTTTCATCCATCATAGCGTCTCTAAACTTATTTAACAATAACTATTTCGCCATCTTTAAAGCGACTGTCACGATAACTATTTAAATTATACACCTATGTTAAAATAATAAATTATATTTATTTTTTAATGAATTCTTTTCAAGTAAATATTTTCTTTGTTTAATATGTAAACTTTTTTCAAAACCATTTCTTAAGTCTGTAAAGAACAAAAGCTGACGAGCCACTCTTCATTAGCTGTTTGCATGAGTGGGGAAAGACAAGGAGAGGAAGGGGGTAAGGACGGAGAAACCCCTTTAAGGAGACAGGTTGTTTTCGCAGCAATACTTCACCACCTCGAGGGAGGTAACCGTTGCCACCGGAACAGGTTTACATGGGGTAATTTATGTACTTACAAAAAATAAATAAATAAATAAAATAAAGAACATTTTAGTAAACATTCCAAGCTAGCCTGTTAGCGTACAATTAGTTTGCTAGTAAAGCGTTTTCTTGGTTTTCATTTGTGTGTAATGGAAATTCTAATTATTTTCATTCAAAAAGTTTTTCAAAGTACGATTTTACTCCTCTATTTCAATAACAAGGTACTTTGATATCTGGGTCGTGTTAAAAGTTAAAAATATAAGAAAAGTATTTCACAACATCCACTAAGATGACAAATTGTCTGTCAAGGATGATAAAAAAATTAATGGTTAAAAAAATAATTCATTGCGATAATGAACATACAGCTGTATTGTTATTATTGTTCAGTTATCTAAAAGACTTTTTCGTGGTTTTCCTTTGCATTTAACGCAAC